TGGAGTAATCTAGATAAACATTATTTAAACAAACCTTTAAATGTATTAATTCTTCCAAGATGATAAACCCATCAGAAAGAAACCCTTGAGAGTCACTCATAATTACCTGTATAAAAGGGGTGTATTAGAAAAATACCTCCTTAGAAAACCTTACACATTCCCCAAAATTCTCCCATAAAAACAATTGAAATTGAAACTACAAGAAAAGGGAACTTCTGCCATAAATAAATAATCGAACATCTTAAACAGGAATCGCCAACGTTACAAAAAGCCAAAACACACACGCACACACACACACAAACTACCAAAAACACTAAACTATGGCATAAGTAGTGAAGCAGTGGAACTCACCAAATGAAATAAATATGATATGTCACATGTAACAATCTCAGAGAAATCAAGCCAGTTAAAAGTTGTAGGAAGAGCATAACTGCAAAATTCTAGAAAAGTGAAAAGTTTGAAAGGAAAGAAAACCTTATTTGTAGAAGAACCCCAAACTTGAAAGGATAATTATATATATGTTTTCTCATGCCGCAATGATCATACCTAAGTATAGGGAAGATGATGTCCATTAATTACACCTCTACCTAGAATCCTTAGGGGAAAACCTAGAGGATACATTATGTTATACTAAATGTCAAGAGTTAAAAAAGAATAACCAAAAATAACCTTAACTTACGTAAAGATCTTCAACTAACAGATCAACATGGGTCGAGATCTGAAAGGTTCGAAATACACCCAATATTTAACAAGTGGAGCCCAACATTAAAGGTCGTAACAAATTCATGACATCCAGATCACAATCAAGACGTACCAAATAAATAGATCGATGTCCTAAAATTCAATATAAATGAATGTTCTTTTGAAACTCGATAGAGAAGAAGGATAATAACCAAGAAAAAATCAAACTCAAATGACAAATCATAATCAAAAAATCCTCCAAAGGCTTAAATGTATAAAGACCATGAAGGTGGAAGCAAAGAAGTGCTAAGATCAAAAGCCACATCCCTATCAAGTTAGGCTTGGCTTAGCGAAAATTATTCTCGCTTGGGTCGAAGATACATTTAATGGCCTAATAACACGCCCAAACCATAACAAGCATATCAAGCACATTACTTATTAGTGATGGTCACATGGTCGTCGGATCATAAGATGAAGACGTCATAATGACGTCAAGTGAATGACATCCCATAAAGGTATTAGTCCATTTGTTATGGACCAAACAAAGGTTCTAGAACATCGGGAACGCATAGATTTTCCCAAGAAAAACACCTGATTCAAAAAAAAATGATATGAGGGTCATCAGATGAAAGAACAAAATATAACCTAAAACATGTTGAAATGGATTGCTATCATACACAAGAAGGTTATAGACCCTCAAAAATCCTATAATCTACCTAAAAAGAGAATACAAATGTCAAATCAAGGTATAAACACTCCTTACATAAAAATATATCTTCATGTAAACCACGAAAAACTGACCAACTTCACGTCCTCGTAAACGACTCCTTTTGAAAAGTATCAATAAGTAATCATGTTCGAAGTCAATGTTTTACAAGGTAAGACCTCTTTTTAAGATATTTGGTTTTCATAAAAGATCAAATCAAATACCCAAACATGAAAACATAATGTGTAATCATCTGAATCCTTCTCTACTTTAACGAGAAAATTTTGCTTTGACTGTCATACCTCAATTTTGTCCGGGGATTTTAAATTCATCTAATACATGTCCATTTGTCAAGTTTTCATTTTTAACCATATGCATTTTTATCATCAAATAAAGTCACCATAATCATGCATATATGCATTATAATAAAAAAAAAGTCAACATTTTACATGTTGAAGAAACTAACAATAAATTTGTGATCGTTTGATTTATCATCAAAATATTCATTTAAATTTTATTAATCATTCTCATGGATCATAAACCAAAAATCAATGTTTTATAATGTCCAAAATATCTTTCATTTATGATATCATTATTTCATGCATATATTACATCATTATTACATGCATATACTACGTCATTATTCAATATTTAATTAAATAAGTTTTTAGAAGGCACTCGCACTCTCACTTTATTTTATAATTCCTAAATTATCCTTTTTAGAGCCTATAAATAAAATCATTATCATTCGCAAATCTCACTGACAATCATTCACTAAACTAAGCAACCCTCTTCATTTTCTTTCAAGTCATTTCTTTTTTTTATTGAATAGGTAGGCTCTTATACTTGTTTTTTATTTAATTCTATTACATTTTTACTCTTGCTTTATTTATTTAGTACCTTAATCATCATCATCATTTTGCATGGAAACTCAATTGATTTTAAATCAAGAGTTGAAAAGTGTTCTTGAACCTCCATAAGCAAAATTGATTTGTTGTTGTTTAGTGGCTCTTAAGATTATTCTTTATTTAATTCTATTGCATTTTTATTTTTACTTTGTTTATTTAGTACCTTAATCATCACCATTTTGCATGGAAACTCCATTGATTCAAAATGAAGAATTTAAAGTGTTCTTTAATCTCCATGAGAAAAAGTGATAAAATATGATTTAATTTTCGTTTATTTAATTTCTTTTACATTATTATTCTTGTTGCACCTAATTAGTATATTAAGCACAACTATTTTGCATGGAAACTCCGTTGATTCAAAATCAAGAGTTTAATATGTTCTTGAACTCTATGAACAAAAAGGGTAAAATATAAAGTGATGCTTGTTTTACATAAATAATGTATCCAATAACTTTCTAAGAACACTCCGAGTATGAATTCATTATTCGTTTGTCATAATGATGGTTAAAAAGGCTGAATCAGGCAAATATGTACCGCTGCATTTTGTTGATTTTGAAAAAAATTGTTGTTTATTTGTTGATTCTAAACATACCATTGTGTTTGTGAGATCAATTAGATAAATTTTTATTATTTATTTGCTTAATTTTGTGAAAATTTGATAAAGTTATAATATTTTTACGTTTTCGTTGGAATCTTTTTTTTCATTTTTGTTGTTACGAAAATAGTAATCAAATGTGAGGTTGAGGAAGATGAAGTCTTCTCACACCCCCTAATTGATCAACACACTCCCTTGTGGGATCCCTTCCTTTGGACTTAGAGGATTTTCCTAATTACACCCCCAATTTTCAACATGTTTTTTGTCTTTTGTATATTTTTTATTTATTATTTTCTTATTATTGTTTTATTTATTTATTTTTATATATTTTTTATTTCATTTAATTTTTTAATTTTTTAATTTTTTAACCCTTTTATTATTTCGTTTATTATTATTGCTTTATTTTAGTTGATACATGATTGCTAATTCAAATAGATAAAATGATCTTTAAAATTAACCTTTCAAAGATACTAAAATCAAATGTGTTTCATCAACATAAGTATATTTTTCAAAATCACAATAAGTCTTTTTCTTTAATAAGCACCTTATATCATTTTAAACCAAACTCAATCATTTTCATTATCAACTTCGATACACTTCAAACCATTTTTCAAACTCTCACAAACACTTTCATAAACGATAATCAAATGTTTGATCTAACGTCAAGCCTTTTTACCAATCAAATTCAAAACACTTAATTCTTATTAAATATTTTTCAACAAAGATGGAAAAGGAATATGGTGCTTACCACGAGCTTCAGAAGTTAAGATTCGAGATGCTTATCTCGCTCATCCAAACTCTCATTATCTATAAAATTTTCAATGCGACTTTCTCAAACCTTTTCTCAACCAAAACCTCAAAAACATCTAACCATATTAAACAGTTTTGCAAATAAGACAGAAAAGGAACATGGTGCTTACCACGACTCCTGAGGTTAAGATTCAAGATGCTTATCTCGCTCATCCAAGTTCTCACCATCATTCAAAATACATCAAACAAATCAAACTCTTTTTCTCGTCATCGTGCAATCTTCAAACTTTTTTCATAAACGTAAGATATTGTGTTTTCAGACGACGCAAAACATTGTTTCATCCACAACTATTTGAGTTAATATGTGTGGTTTTATTCTCGTGAATGTTGATATGTGGAAATCCATTCAATGTGATGCAAACGTCCGCTCCTCACCTGTTTTTGATAAAATAATGTTATCTGCCGAATACGACTAAATATCTTTCGCTAAAATCGACCAACAAACAAATATTTTCTACCCATAAATATGTAACCTTGAATTCTCTATTGCATCTAGAGATACGTAGGAGTGAGATTCAAAGTCTCGTCAGACACCCTAATAATAAATTTTGTTGTCCTTTCTCTTCCTCTTCAATAATTCAAGAAGCCTAATATTTTTAAACAAACACTAACCAAATGGTTCTGATTTAGTATCACGGACGTAGAAATGTTAATATTTTTCCATTGCGTAATCAACTTCCGAACTCGACATTAGTTGCAATGACTAAATCTTATCCTTTTATTTATGAATTTTACCGATATTTTTCATTTTTCTCTTTAAGAATAAATAAAGTTCAACGGTAACTCTGTTAAATCCATTTCACGAGCGTGCAATTGCACTTCACGCAGTCGTTATTTTCATTTTGTGGTTTGAGTTTTTCAGGATATTCCAAGTTGGGGGTTGTTGATCTTCTGTCATGCACCAGAACTCGCCCATTAGCAATAGAAATTACTCACTCGTTAGTAATATAAATCATAATTTCATTATGATTTTATGTTATCAACTCGTGAACACAGATGCAAACAAAGAAACAAAAATGACGTAGTTTCTTATTCCCAACAACATAAGCAAACAAAATTTAATAAGCCAAACTCATCATGATGATTGAGGTCTATTTAAGAAAATCCCCAAACTACTCTAAATGGATTAATCAAAGAGCAATAGGCATTGTTATGTACAACCCAAATACTAATAATATAATAATAACTAACATGACCAAAAATAATAATAAAATTATTGCATTGCCTTTTCATGACTTCTTCCACAATTTTCATGACTTCTTCTCAAATGAAGTAAATATATAGAAAAACTAGAAACTTGTTAATATGTTCTAATAACTGGACCCTTGTACAGTCCTCTTCTTATTGCAAACTCATCCGACGGTTGAAATTCTTCTAGCCAAGTGACATCAGAAAATGTAACTCCATCCACCTCAACATTACCTGCAATTTCAATACATGATTCCGTAACAAACGCGCTCAAAATAGAACACGACATTTACAAGTGAAATTTCGGCAAAAGAAACAAAATGAGATTACCTGGAAGATCTTTCCTTTGGGATTGTTGGAAGTAACTGCAGTGTCTTTCGTGTTCTGGAGAATATGGCGGAGATAATATGTCAAAGATTGCACAAGGAGTAATGGCCTTAAAACAATGAATGTTTCCGCCAACGGTAGGATAAAGAACTGTTGTTGAAGTCGGTGCTGTCATGTCTTTATCTTTCACAAGCTTTGCAGCTCTAGCTGTCAATAACGAATTGGTTTAAGACCAATAAACCAGATTTATCAATCATAATCAACTCTTAAATGATGAAGAAAAAAGAGATGAGAAGTTGAACAAGGACAAAAATAAGACAGGCATATAGATGTAGCATCAACACTACATATTGGAGGTGTGTTTGGTGTCCGACATGTATTGGTGTCCGACATGTGTTGGTGTCAGACACAAGACACAACACCGACACATTCTATCACTTCTATTTTTTCCAAATTGTTATTGATGTCTACATGTCAGTACTTCACGTAACATTTACAAATATGTAATGGAAAAAAAGATCACAGACAAACAAGTGTTCTATTCTATGATAAAGACATCCATTGTAGGATTAAACAACTAAATAAATTTTTAAAAAAATAAATCAAAAGGTTGATAACTATTGGAAATTCTGCCTCATTGTAGTGTGCCCCTAGTCACCTAATTATGGCATTTGGCATGCCTTCCTTGCAACCTCCAACGCCTATATTATGTTGGGTTTGAAGGAGTGGATTTAGTTCCACATTGCTTAGATATAACATATGTTGTGATTATAAGTGGAGACAATTCTCATCTTACAAGCCGGCTTTGTAAAGTTGAGTTAGACCCAACCCACATTCTAAGATGATATCAGAGCCTAGTTTAAAATTCATTCGGCCACCTGCTATCTTCACCTTACAAGTCAGTTTTGTAGGAATAAGTTAGACCTAAACACTAATTTTAAGAATAACTAACAGATTCATTTTGGCCTTAGAATAGGTTTCTATGCACGTTATAATTATGCCCAGCAAGAAACCAAAATGCTGCAATACATTGACTATGTCTCGGTATCTTTGATGACTGAATTTGAATCTCCTTATACTTCAAAATTTGGATCCTCACATGTGGGATCCAAATCTACTATCATAAGACATGGCAGAGTACCAAGCTAAATGACTGCATTTCTCAATTATATAAAGGCAAAGTACGATTTTCTTTGGCTCTGCATATTTTATTTCAATAGCCAATGGCTTATTTTTAGGATTGAGTTAGGCTCGATTCAAATTTTAAGATCTAAGTTGAATAAGGATAGCTTCTAGATAGTCAATTAGTTAGATTAGTTTGTCAGTTGAAATTGTAGAAATGAATAGAGGTGGCCTTAGAGGGAAAAGGCACTCATAACTTATGAAAATTGAACTCTCAAGTTGAATGCACAAGAAAGGGTTAAATTGGGATGATGATGGCAAGAAGTATCTAGCAAAGATGTATGATTTTTAAATGCCAACTGAACAACAACAACCAGTTCATGACCGGTAACAAGATCGAGGGTAGAATGACAATTCAGGAGAATCTTGATGTCATACAAAAATGGGTGGAAATTCCTGTGTTTGTGAGGGGCACATTGGGGACAGGTAGATAGCAAGAGCTTAGAAATTACTTGACGTGCAACAAGTTCAGGATACAAATTTTGGAGGATGAAGGCCGTGACCGTATATTGCACAACTTTACGACAATGTTAATTAGGAGGTTAGAAGACCATGTGGAGGAAAGTGTGTAAGATCTGCTTGCAACTCTCTGGAAGTCATCCACGGTGGCTCAAGCCACTGGAATCTCATAATATCTCTCAGAATATCGATTTCTGGGATATTCCTTAGGGGTCTGAAACCAGAGCTTAAATGTAGTATTTATACACAAGTTAACAAGGCCATTGGCATGACCAAAAATATAGAAGTAAAGATTCATAGTTTTGTTAGGGGAGGCTTGGTGGCAAGGACAGAGGGTTAGTAAGCAGTGGCACCATCTTCTTTACCCATACATCAGTCGCAAGGGCAGTGAGAAGAATGGACAAGGCAGTAGCAAGACTACTGCCACAGCGAGTACGGGTGTAAGGAGTAACGCGGGAGAAAGGAGCTTGTTCACGGCACAGGGCTCGGGGCACCAGGCAATTGCCTTATCAAGAGTTTATTTGAAGGAAGAAGGAAGGGAGGTGTTTCAGGCGTGAGTGACTGTTAAGCCCTGGAAATAGATGCCTAGAAAAGACCGTGTGATACAAGTAGAACGAGAAACAAATTATATTTTCCAAATTATTAAAAACCGGTTCTCCTCACTTTATTGTACCCTAATACGGTATCAATGTTAACAGATACGCGTCGAGACCAATCCCAACCCAAAAATGTACAATCTCCCCAATCTAAAGTTAGATAGCATATTATTAGGGATAAGGTTCCACCTGATCATTTAATATAGTGATCACTAAACTTGGGTACATGTGGGTGTAAATAAGAAAAACTCAGCCCTAACCTCTTGCAAAGTTTAGATGTAAAAATTACCAACCGCGCCTCTTGATTGCAAAATTCAGGTGCAAAAGTAAATAAGAGTAACACAAACTCACACCCACCCCCTTGCGCAGTTTCGTGACAAAAGAACTAAAGCATATGATAAAATCCTAAAAATCATGTAAAGACATGAATGTTTCAATCTTTCGTGTTTAACTAACTAGCTTAAGATTTTAAAAGGAAAAAAGCCTTTCTTTAAGGCTTTAACCAGAGAGAATCAGAGCAAGAATCCAAACAATCAACTAAGAATTATCCATTTTAACTACGCCGAGATCCAGTGTTATCAATGGCGGATTATGGCGGTCAGCTAAATATCTGCCATATAAATCTGATGTTGCAGCCTATGGCAGCTCACACAAAATTCTCTATTTTACAATACTGTGTTGGAAGGAAATTGGACAACAGCGCTAACATCATGCACTAAATAAAATCCACAAAACGCCAACCATCAACCATTGACTTTCAAACAGGGGTCCTCGATTTCCCTCTTTAGTTAGACACTAGAACTGTTTTAGAGAATGATTGTAATAAAATAGTGTTTTTTTCTTAAGAAGGAAAAATAAGGCATGACACACCGTATTCAACACTTGATGCATTCTGATTCAGACGCAGGGGACTAAAAACTGGATAAAACGTCATAAAAGTACGGAAAAAAAAAAAACTATAAAGAACAAACCTTCAGTTGGATCATTTGGGCCAGGGAAATCAATCCAGTCATAGGATTTAACATGCACTGTACCATATATGAGCTTGCTTAGGACCGTCATTCCAGGATGATTGTGGAGAGGAATGACAGATGAAGGGGGCATGCAAAAAATTCCAATCTGATAAAGATAAAAATTAATAATAAATTTTAGTAGTTGCTCCCAGTATGGTTTCAAACTGCGGTTCGCAACCACAATTGCAGCCGTAAAATAAAGGATTTTGAGGTCTCTGCAACAACATTACAACAGTAATTTTGACAGCCTCAGCCACATTTTCCCACAATATAAGGGATTCTGGTGCAACCGCAATTTAAAACCATAGTCCCAAATTGCAGACCGCGTAACATGTTAGGGTAGTGTTCGCAACTGCATCAGACCGCGATTGCAGTGTGATTGCAAATGATATTAAAAACAGCATAGTAATGCTGCAATGACCGCATTGTAATGCTCCAACAGCCACATCAGGCTGCAATAAACTATGCCGTGCTCGCAAAAATTATTTTTCTAGCTTCCTTCATATTTATATCATAGATTTTTAAGAGATATTTTAAAAGAACCATAGATATTTAAAGTGGTGAAGAGTTAATAATGAGATAGATGTGAAACTATGAGAGGAAATAGAAGATATTCGAGACATAAGATAAGTATTAAAGTATAATAGTTTATTTTATTAAAAAATATATTTACGCCCCAACTGCTGCAATTCGCATCGCAACAGGCGCAACTGCAATTGCAATTTAAAACCATGGTTCCCGATATTAAAAAAAAAAAACAGAATTTTAAGAACTATCACTGGATAAAAATGATGTAGAGTTCTGAAAATTGATACTTACAGAGAAGCTGTCACATTCATGCAAATGTAAGTATTTGATTGGCGGTGGTTGATGGTTCCCATTGGTCTCGGGCATTTGACCGTTCCAATTACGAACCACTTGTGCCTCCTGCTCAAGACCTACATCGGAAGGCTTCATTTTTTCTGGAACATTATGTTAAAGGTTATTAGAGAAATTTCATTTGAACATTAAAGAAGCAATTAATATGTATCAAATCGATATGTGGTCTCAATTTTTAGCAAAAAGGTACTAAAACGTTGACCCTCCGAAATGAAATATTAGCAAAAACGGTATTTAAAAAGATGATGTATGTGGTCTCAATTTTAGACCACATACATCCACTTTTCAAATACCGTTTTTGCTAATATTTCGTGCTAGAGAGCAATCTTTCAGTTAGACCTATCAAGTATCAATATGTGCTTGCAATTTTTACTCATCCGATTGGTGCCACACCTTATGAACCAAACCTATCTGTTGCAAAACAAACTAGATTCGACAAATATAAAGTAAATAATGCTCAGTCAATGGGATCACAAGGAAAAAGTCTATTTACATGTTATACACGTAATTATCGAAACTAAATGTTTCACATACTCGGAATACAAAACTACGGAGTTGAAGATAAAAATATGCATGTATAACTAAACGAAAAATACAAATAAGTAAAACAATTAATATACCTAACTTCTCGCAAACTTTTGAAATGGCTTCTTCAGACACGGGTCCATTGGGTGAAAAAGACGTCCTGCATAGCCTATACAGTCTCTGTACATAATATGGCATCTTGTAACCGTGTGCGTGATAATAAGCTTATCTACTCAGAACAATGCCCCGGATTCAGAACACGTTGTAATCACCTTATCGATTGCAATAGTGACTGGATATACAATTGGATAACAACAGTATTTTAGTCTCAGAATCAAACCAACTGTAATGAATCTGAATAGTTGCAGATGTTCCTTCACAGGTAATCTAATTTATGGGCCTATTCAACAACCAAAAAAACCAATAACAATTCATCACAATTCACAACTCTATATTAGCAAATCACTACATGATCTAAATACATACATTCACAAACTCACAATCAATTCAAAAACACTGAGATTCAATTGCATTTTGCCCTAAAGTTTCTCTAAACACACATCTCAAAAACCAAAACAACAAAAAAAAATCCATTTTTACCTACAAATTTACAAACCCCACAAGTTTTTCAAACCCAAAAAACAAATCTTTCATTATTTTTTCACATCCATTAAACAAAAGATACACTACAAAATCGAATGTTATTATATTCCAACAACAAAACCCTCTAAAAACAATTACAGACATAGAATATAGTCAATACACTGTTAAAATAGTCAAAATAGGGAAAGATTCAAAATCGAAAAATTGAGATTGACCCAGTAAAAGGATTAAGCTAAAAAATCATGTAAACACATAAAAATCAAAAATTGAATAAAAATCACAAATGGGGTATGAGATTCCAAAAAAAAACATTAAAAAATGAACAAAAGGGTTTAAAAAAATTGTTCAAAAATTAAGAGAAAAAAACCGTACCTGTGAAACCCATCACTGAGAGGAGGAAGAAGGTTAGATGAAGATTGAAGAGATTGAAGTAAGTAAAGATCGAAACAAGGTAATAAAAACGAGGAATAGAAGGAGAAAATAGAGAAGAAGGTGAAAAACATTAAAGATTATGGGCCCATATAGAATAGAAAATCTTTAACACGTCATCATAAAGTTTTTTTATTTTTTATTTTTGTTTTCTTATTAAATAATTACCATCTCTAAATTCTCTATGTGATTTTATGAGATTTTTTATCTTACAAGTTTTTTTTTTAACTACAGCTGTATCTTACTTAGCTTAACTTCTCTTGTTCATGCTTTTTGTTCTTTTTTGATAGTTGTATCTTGCAAGTGGTTATTTTGTTTGCTTATAACATTAAAATTGAATATAATAAGAGGAAGTTATAATAGGTTTGATTCTAGATGCATAATTTGAAAGCAATGTCAATACTTTTTATGGATATTGATTAATGTATATGGATCTTTTATACAATTTTTTATATTAAAATATTTTATATATATTATTTTCTTTTTTTCCTTTTTTTTTCTTTTTTTTACTCTTCTTTCCATCTATCTTAACACGATCTTTCTTAAATTCGAATTTAATATAATAATTTTTTTAACAACCTTTTTTTATATATATTATGTTTATTTACCTAACTCTGAACATTTTCTCTCTCTTACAACATTGCCTCATTTTTAATTTTTAATTTCTCTTTTCGCATTCATAAAATCACGATTGTAAAGTTGTTGGATCGCAAGTGATTCAAATTTGTCTCTCTTTACCTTCTTAATTTTTTTTAGTACAATTGTTTAAACTCAAATATTCGATATATGGTTGAACAACAAAAATCATTTACTAAATATAACACATAAAATAGACAAATTCTATTGTAGAAAAGGAAAATATATGGTCCATGGTGGACCACTATTGATGATCATTAAATTTAAAAAGTTCTACTAACTTTTATAATATATAGTTCACATACAATCTTGTTCCTCTTTTTTATTTTTCTTTGCCACCATTTGTAGCATTCAAATCTTATGACAATTATTCGTCCCTCTTATAACAAATTGAGTTACGGTTCTCAAGTTATAGCAAAAACAAATTCTGATTTTTCTCTGTTTTTTTGAGCTTGCTATATGAATTCGAGGATATTCCTTTTTTATTAAGAAATTCATTTTAGAGGATTCCTCGTTCGAAGGGAGGTAGACTACTCAAGAATTTTACATTTTATTTTTGTCCTAATTTCGAATTGGATAAAAAATTCAGGAAAAAAAATGTATCAATGAAATGTTGCTTGGTATTTATTGATAACTTGAGTAAAAAGTAAACCTTTTTTTTTAGATTAGAGGTTTTCCAAAATTGGAAAGCAGAAACCCTTTTCTTTATCTATAGTTGTGTGCAAATACTTTAGTCGGATGAGAGGAAACACTCGTGTCCTTAGCCCACTATGCACATGCTTAGCGAGCTCTCGGTTTTGAAATTTTATATATTCATTTATAACACATTGTTAGGGTTATGGTTTTGGGTATTTTTGCACCTAACTCTATCAAAACATTCCTTTGGATAGAGAGGCTTAGAAACAACATTAGAGTGTATATCTTGATGATCTGGTATTGAATTTGCTTCAATCAGCATTGACAAACTGAGATATTCTTGTTCATCTTCTCTCTTCTCTTTGTACCCTCTATTGTTAGGATTTTGTTTGTAAGTTTACATTGATTATGTGAATATTTATTGATCATGGTTGTTGTATACAATCTCTTTTACAAATCTTTATCGATATTATCTTTGATTTTAATATTTATCTTAATGGGTTTGGATTGCTATTGACATATAAGGTTCAAACTCGATCTAAGATGAACATCTATTAGGTTTTGAACTCTAGAAATAAATTTAAAGCTAATATTCACTGTGGGTATCAATGTTTAATACTTTATGTTGTTTAGTTGCGTGAGACATCATCGATGAGACAATACAGTAGAACTCTCGTCGAAGCTTCAGACATGAACACTGATGTGAGCGATACGTGATAATATTGATGAGTGATTTAGGTTGTGTATAATTGATCAGCAGATTTAAGTATTTGATAGGGTAGATGAAATTCAATTCCTGACAAGTTCTCTCCTCTCTAAAGAATGTATTCTTTACTTGTTCACATGTTTTACTTTCCGCTTTTTACTCTTTAAAATCATTCAAACCAAGCTTAGAAACGTATAGATTTTTGAACGACATTCTTTCCCTTGCACCGATCTTTGTAGAGAACGATAAAAACCTAAAGGGAATTCTTCCAAATCTTTTGCTTCTTGCCGCTATACTGCAGTTCGACCAGCCCCCTCTTATGAGCTTCAATCCCCCTGTTTTAAGCTTGGGACAAGCCACCAGTCCCCTCATTCTAAACCATCTTTCTATTCTCTAATGCATAAGAGAAAGTAAAAGAAACATTCTTCTGTAAAATACTATCAAAAGATACGCTTAAAGAGATTGTGCAATTCTCATTAAGGATTCCAAAGTATCTTACAGGAAATTCATCAATAAACCCTTTTGCATCTAAAGTACAAAGATTTATGGAGGCGAATTATTCCTTAAGCTTACTGTGGAAACACACGCTTTGGAAATTTATCGAGCAAATTTATTTCTCAATTTTCATCTCCATTTATTCTTAGTATTATAGCATCCCCAAAATGAAATATCTAGCATTCTTAAGGAACAGTTCATCTTATTCAATAGTTGTTTCACTAAAAAAGCTGACTTCTGACTTTGTGAGATTAGAGAAGTTTGATGGAGCCAATTTTATTTGTTGGCGGGAAAAAATGAAATTCCTTCTCACAACATTGAAAGTGGTGTATGTCTTTAATATTCCAAGACTAATGGAAAGAGAAGATGAAACAATTACTGAAATAGAGAGAGACAAAAATGGGACAATGATGATTATATATGCATGGGGCACATCCTCAACGGTATGTTCGATTCGTTGTTCGACATTTATCAAAGTAGTCACTTCGCAAAAGAATTATGGGAGAAACTAGAATCAAGATACATGCAAGAAGACGCTACAAGTAAGAAGTTTCTTGTTTCTCAATTTAATAATTACAAAATGATAGATGGTAGGTCTGTTATGGAATAAATGCACGAAATTGAAAATTTTCTAAATAATTACAAACAACATAATATGCACATGGATGAAACTATAATTGTATCCTCATAATAGATAAAATTCCTTCTTCTTGGAAACATTTTAAAAAAAAACATGAAGCATAAGAAGGAGGATATTTATCTTGAACAATTGGGTAATCGTCTTTGTTTAGAAGAAGAGTATCGAAAACAAGATAATACTAAAAGTCAATTTACTCAAGAGAAGGTCCGTGTGATTGAGGAAGGAAAGTCAAGTAAAACTTCCATGAAAAGGAAACGAGATTTCGGAAAATATCATGAAAATCATAATGGTAAAGGTAATAACAACTATAGAAAGAAAAATAAAGGAAGTTGTTATCATTGTGGAAAACCAGGACACTTTAAAAATAAGTGTAGGTTCTTGAAAAGAGAGAACAAAGAAAAGAATTCAAAAGCAACTAAAGACAATTTTGTTGTTGTCATCTCTGAAATCAACGTGGTAGAAGATATTAATTCTTAGTGGATAGACTTTGGTGTTACCCGTCATGTGTGCAAAAATAAATAACTATTCAAGACCATTAATGAAGAAGATAGTAGTGTTTTGTACATGGGAAATAATGTCCAAGTCAAAGGAAAAGGATCAATAGAGATTGAATTCACGTCTCAAAAAATACTCACTCTTACAGATATATTTTATGTTCCTGAAGTTATGAAGAACTTGATTTATGTACCTTTACTTAATAAGTATGGTTTTAAATCTGTATTTGAGGGAGATAAATTTATTCTCTCTAAAGGGGGAATATTCGTAGGGAAAAGTTATTTTTGTGAGAATATTTTCATATGTAATATTGTTAATAACAATAATAATAATAACGTGATTCTGCTTATATTGTTGAGTCTTGTGATTTATGGCATATGCGACTAGGACATGTTAATTTTAGAAAATTAAATGATATGATAAAATCAAATTTAATTCCAACACTTGACCAAAATTCAAATTCATGTACTACTTGCATGTTAACTAAAATCATAAGACAACCTTTTAAAATAGTTGAAACAAGTCCTAAAGTGTTAGGTTTAATTTATTCAGATGTATGTGATTTACATGGTTGACCCACAATAGGTGGTAAAAAGTACTTTGTCCCTTTCATTAATGATTGCACTAGATTTTGTTACGTTTATTTAATGCATTTTAAGCATGAAGTCATAGAAAAATTAAAAAAAAATTAAAGCACAAGTAGAACTTCAACATGAAACCTTCATTAAATGTTTTATGAGTGATAGAGAGGGGGAGTTCTATAATCCAAATTATTTTGAGTCCACTGATATTTTATATAAAATAATGACACCATATTTCCCACAAAAAAAATGGGATAGTAGAAAGGAAAAATAGGGTGTCGGAAAAATGGTAAATGTCATGTTATCATATTCTGGTTTATCTAAAGGATATTGAGGTGAAGTCATGCTAACTGAATGTTATATATTGAATAGAGTTCCCAATAAAGAGAATAAGATAACCCCATATGAACTCTAGAAGAAAAGAAAACTCAATCTTAATTATTTAAAAGTTTGGGTTGTAGAGAAATTGTAAAGGTGTCTGAACCAAGGAGAAAGAAATTGGGAGAAAGAGGAATTGAATGTGTATTTCTAGGATATGGTGAAAATAAAAAAAGCATATAGATTCATGGTTATTGAATCCAATGACTCGTATCCTTTAATATTGTGATTGAGTCAAGAGATGCAATTTTTCAAGAGAGTAGATTCACCTCAATTAAAAAATCCCAAAGGCAATGTTCATTATGATGTTCAAAGATTAGAAAGTAATGTATCTAATAATAATATGTTGACATATTCATAACCTAGAAGAAGTAAAAGAATCTGAAAAG